TTATTCTACTAATTTCTTGTGTTTACTATGCTAATTACCCAATTCATCCCTTTTATTAATCATGCAATCCCTTCATTACATTCAACTCTTCTTAAGATATGATTTTTAAGTTTCCCCCCGTCTTTACAATTAGGCATACCAAACATCAATCCAATATGGTCTAAGCCAATCTTCTCTGTTACACTTTATTTTCATCTCGAGTAATCCATTAAGCCCCATCTCCATTACTTTTATGTTATGTTCAAATGTTACAACAACAATAACTTAGCAAAAATTACCTTAAAAATACACTTTGTAATATATGTTCATTGAATAATTATTCCAAATTAATCACCATGCTAAAACTGCTTAATTGAACAAAAACATACCAATATTTTTCACAAATTTAGCTATTTATTTTAATATTTCATATAATAGGACAAAGTCTATGGAGAAAAACTAGGCTTGCCAATTAAATCATAGTAATAAAACCATGTCTAGCCTAGTAGGTTGACCCAGGGTCTTGGTCGGGTTTTAAAAGGGGAAAACTTAGGCTTGCAAGTGGCCTAGTCAAACTTGGATGAGACCCAACTTTTTTTAATATGTTTTTATAAGCATTCAGCCTCATTTTTTTATAGCTTACATCCGCATAGATTATTTCTTAGCTTTTCGATATGGAATAGCTATACATATGGAATATTTCTTAATTTTTATATGTGTGATGGCTATATAGCCAATATCCATATAGAAAGTTTTTTATAATTCAGATATAGGATAGCTATACTACATTTGATGCCTCACATTTCTTTTTTTATAGCCCACATCCATATTGACACGAACTTCTTGATCACGTGGTTAAGCAACCCCTAACAAAGATGATAATTCCCCAAGAAAGCTGAAAATTAAGTGTCACACGTGTGTGATGTTACGGCAATTATTTACCCTCATGTATGGATATATATTTGGTAAATATAGGGAGACAAGGAATTCTTGTCTTTTATCAGTGGAAAAAATAGAATGGGAGTCGCCACCTAGTATTTTGGTCACTAAAAACCCTAACTAATCTTAGAGATCGGGTATAGAGACTGGTTACGTAAAGAGAAAGTATTAGCACCCCAAATACGCTCTACCTAAGGTAAACTACATTGTTTTATTGTTTGATAAAAAAATAAAATCTTGTCGTGTTCTCTAATTTTTGGTATGTCTATGGTTTAAAAAAGTCCTCATAACTAAGGAGGTCCTTATCTTATCGCATAAAACTTAACTGTGCTAATGTCAAATAAAAAAACTATCTTTTTAATATCAGTAGTACTTTTTACATATAAATTCATAATTTCAGATATTAAAAGAAAACAAAATATTTTTTTGGGTGTGTTTTGAAATATTGGCCTAGTTCTCGTGACTTTAATAAACTGGTTATTAAAGCCAAAATGCATGCTAATATATATTTTTTGAATTTTTGTTGTATGAAAATATGATATGATTTTCTCTTTGAGAGACTTGGCCGTATGCATGAAAAAAAAATTAAAGTTTTGATGAAAATCGGATATTTTAATATTGCATTTGTGTTTTTACGATATATAAGAAATAACCAATATTTGAACCAATATTAATTAAAATGGATAGAAAAATATACGAGAAAATCATGGATATTTTTTGAAAATGTATTTTTTTGTAAATTTTTATACGGGCCGGACCCCAAACAAAATTGGGCTGGGACCGACCCGAATAAAACACAAACTACCTTATATTAGGCTGGACTAAGCCCAGTCTCATGGACTGGGATGATAATGCATCTCAAACCGGTTATTGTGTCATTCACAATAACCAACTAAATGTAATTATCTGGTTACTATGCTCTTGCATAATAATCAGGTAATTATTTTGTCTTGTATTGTAGAAATGTGCATAGTGCACATTCTGCATGCAAGGGAATGAATTAGGACAATAGAGATGAAAGGATGAGAATTACCTAAAATGAAGGTGCTCTAGTAGCTGAGCTAATGGTGGCTGGTGGTAACGGTGGAGTGGTGATGATGATTGCTGCGAGAAGAGGAAGAAAGGAGAAGAAATTTATAGAAGCTAATGATGCTGACAGACATGGTGCAAACATGGTGGTTGATCCGCCACTATGAAAATCTGGGTGGTGGATATGGAGGTGGACAAACCGATGGTGGTGGTGGTTGTGGTAGGAGGCCGCGGTGGAGAGAGAAACAGAGAGGTTCTGCTGACAACAGAAATTGGGTTAAGGAGTCTATTTTTTAGCTATTTTTGGACCCAAATTTCTTCGTCCCTAGAGCATAAAAATAAAATCTATTTATAAGTAGTAGAAGAGGGACACTTTGTTTCTTTTGGTGCAAAATCCCAACCCTTAGTTTGACCTGTAAGCATCCCAAACATCGGCTCAACGTATCAATGATAATCTGTCACTTTTATGCTAGAAAATAGTTAGTCGGGTTAGCCACTTTAAGGCGGTGCCACCGCCTTTGCAGCCTCGATCAGCTCGAATAGCTTACACCAATGTGTAGTCAGGTATCATAGGATGTGTGTGCATGTTTTGTCTAATTTAGTGAAGAAAAGAGGCATCAAATGCCTTAGGAAAGTGGCCACCCAATCAGCCTCGTTGGAGAAGAAGATGAACAGTATCTTATAATTTAGTCCTTCAAATTATTATTTATTTCTATCTACACTTTTAATTGGCTTCAAACTTTTAATTTCATTCAATTTTACCTGTGAAGAACTTCAATTTGAATCCTAGATTTCAGCGTATTTTTCTCTTTAATCCTTGGTTTTGGATTTATGCAATTTAACTCTTAATTGATCAATAAACTTTCAATTTCTTCAATTTGACCCTTGATTTGGTCAATTTCAGTTCTTTTATTTATGTGTATTTTTCAATTTGGTCCTTGGTTTTGGATTTTTCTAATCAAGTTCCTAATTGGTCATCAAACTTCAATATTTATGCAATTAAACCCCTGATTTGACCAAATTAACTCTTAAAAATTCGACTTTGACCCTAAAAATTTAATTTCTTTCAATTAAAGTCTAAATTAACTTAAAAATCAATTTTTCTTATAATCAAACCCTATATAAATTCAATTAAATCTTCAATAAAATTTAATTGAGTTCGTAAACATCTGATTTTGAATTTTTTTCTCAAATTGAATTTTTATTTGTCAACAAGGCTCTTCATCTATAAAAAAAATATACTGTTAAATTTTAATCTTTGAATTTTAGAGCCTCCACAACCAACATCTAGCCATTTTCTAGGCGCTCTGACATCCTCTTTTCACTGTTATTATTTTTTAAATTTTTATTAGTTTGAATATTTTTTGATGTTCTGGAAGAGAAAAAATGAATTTAGAAAATAATCCAAAAATGAGTTATTACATCAGGTTCGAGAACCTTAACCTAAAGTTAACTTGTAACTAAGAACTAAAGGTATTAGAATCCGTGAATTAACACCACAAGGTTAGTTATACGTGGATAAGTCATGTTTTCTTCTTTGTCACAGCGAAGAACACGTTTCCTTCAGGCAAAACACAATAATATTATTAACATGAAAGCTACTGAAATTCACAGCAAAGAAAATATTATATGGTTCTAAGATAATTAACCATAATGGACCAATATTGGGTTTTAAATCATTGGGCTTTTAGATAATACAAGTCCAATACCTAAAACACTTAATTTAGGTCAAAACAAACCCAACTAAACCTAAAAACCTAAACTGAAATATTATGGTTCAAATAATGCTCAATGAAAATAAAAATAATTAAGTAAAATATTCAAAATAATACAAGGAAACAATCTACCCCTAAAATCATCCCTAACTTGATTAATGTCCTTGTGTAGTCAGGTCTGACATGCGTGGGAATAATGTGTCTGCCACTCCTTTTAGATCTTTTTCCAACACACTGCCTTGAATTCTTTATCTTTTTTTCTTGTTTGGTCAACTAAATGCTCGTAAAAAATACAAAAGAGAGTTGTTGAATTCTTTTTTTTTTAAGCCTTCCACAATCTCCCTTTAAAGTAATGAAATCTTTTAAGAGAAAGGAAAGTCCTCCAAATCTGACCTCCTCATGTTCTCCTTGAAAGGAAAGGAATCATTGCTTGTAATGGACAAATAAATAAGGGAATTTACTCCCACATATTGTCACCCTTTGGTGTCCATATTAGATATGGAATCCTTATCTAATATAAAGATACAATAATCCCTCTCTTTCAATCTTTTAACCGCTCATCATGAACCCAAACTTAGCTAGGTTTTTTGACAAATCCTTGTAAGAAAAGGACTCCAACACCCTAATTAATCCTAGTGACTTTTAGACCCTATATAGCCCATGCACATCCATAGAGCCCAAATCAGACCTAGTTGAAACCAACTCCTTCATAATTAGGTGAAACTCATCAACACCAATAGAAATCTAGCCGAATGCATCCCAAGATGAAAATCTAAGGAAAAAACCCCCCACTCAGCTGAATGGTCTTCCCCTCAAACTCAAGCTCCAAACTGAATCCCTATCATGAGTAACCTAAGGTCAAACCATAAGCTGAACCATATCACATGTGCATTTTTTTTATTAATTTTTTGATATGGGATAATTATATATGGCTATATCTACATGAATTATTTCTTGAATTTTTTATTCAAGATAAGTATACTACACTTCACATTTATTTTTTATAATCTACATTCATATGGATTGTTTCTTAACTTTTCAATATGAGTTAAATGTACTATACTTCATGCCTCACATTTTATTTTTTTTTATAGTCTACATTCACATGTACTGTTTCAAAACCTTTTCATATAGGATATTAAAACCTCAAATATATTTTTTTTCTAGGTTGATGGGAGACCTAACCTTTTAGTCAACCCCCGAATAGGTTTAATAACTATATATTAAACAACTCTCACAAATTGGTTACAATCTCTTCTAAGAATTTAATCAAAAAATTTATCATCTTAATGCGAACCATATCCATAATTCATATGGTATCACTAGGTCATAATAGACTTATAAGAAATTTGCTTACCGATTATTTAACAGGTTATAATTCTATCTATTAAACTCAAAGCATCAATCCGTTTTTGTTCTATAAACTAGACTTCACCATCTCTCCATCCATCACACACTAATACAAAACTGAGAGAGATTCCACAAATTCTAATATTTAAAAACTAATGGCATAATTCGATTCACCTATGGCTGCCCTATCAGGCACATACCTGAAAGGTCCAATATTAGACATGACAGTCGGTGTTGCATTCATCTAACTTTCCAGCCTCTAACATTTTTCCACACCGTCACTTCTGGCATTTAATATTCATATGCCTAAAAAATTTTAGATACATCATTCAGCTGCGTTCCTTCAACATATTAAGTGCGAGAGGCTAATTTTTTTCTAATAAACATATTCATTCCAGCTTCAATTCATTTATAGACAAAATCCAATCTAGTTAAAACCATTGATTTTATTTTAAATTTTAGTTAATCCAAAATTGGGTTACACCAAGCTATTTAATGAATAATGCCAACATCTCATCTATCCACTCTATTCATCTGTACAGATGCACTACCTTGGATTGCAATGATCAAATTCAAGAAAACAAACCTGTTTCCTCTTTGGACAACCTTCTCCTTCGCCAACTCCAAGAATTCTTCTTCCTTTGACCGGTTTTCCTTTCCCTGCTGGACCAGACTAGCTGCTATTAATTATCAAAACAAACTACAGGCTCATTTAATTACTACAAGGCAACTACGTCAAATTAACAAGATAACAAAAACACATTGTTGTCATACAAGAGAAATACTAGCAATTACCTGGCATGGCATGGCATTTGCTCCTGACCTCGAATTCCTTGAAGCTGCTTTCTTGGATGGTTCTGCACAGCATGCTTGCAAAATAGGGGAAGGCTGCTGTGTTTCATGAATTGACATAAATATATGTATGTGTGAATACTGCGTGTGTCAAAGATAGGTTGAGGGCCTAACTACAAGCCTTTTGGTTTTGGGTTATGAATGATAGGTTGTCAATTCAAAATCTTGAAAATTCAATAGATTCAAAGTGGTTATGAATTAGATTTGGTAATGGAAATGGAAATGATATATTTTAATTTTTTTTTAGTTTGAAAGATAATTAATTAAGGTTGTAGTAGAATAGTCTCCAACCACATGGAAGCCCAGTCAGTAATTATTAAGCCAGGAAGGCTGGCAAGCATTCATGCCATCAAGATAGGGAGCACCACCGCTGGTGGGTGGACTCTACCGAGGCTTACCTATTTGGCAACGGCAACCTGATGCTGTGTGTGATTTAAAAAACGAAACACCACGCGTCAAGGTTTCGATGGCTGCGGCATTGTAGAACTTGCCATAAAAAAAAAAGAGAGAGGAATGATCCACCTCTTTGTCAGTGACATTGTACATTGGTTCGGGCAATGACCGGCATCTAGGCCCACCACCTGAGCCAACAGCTGGAACTGATAAGGTCTGGGTCCCTCCCCCTTCTCTCTGAAAAAAAATCTTAATCATTGATGCAGTAAAACCTTGAGATTCATGGCAGAGATTTGGAATCAGAATGTGAGAAAAAGCAACACTACACTGCATTGCAGTAACAAAGTTGTCAATTTCATCTCTCTCGCCAGCTTTGACAAACCTTTTACAGCGATTTATTTAATTGAATACACCCAGGCCTTTTCACCACCAATCTCTATAGAGAAAAAGGAAAGAGAGACCTCAATGTATGCGATCTACGTGGGAGACTTACCATCCATACAGCATAACAACAATAGCGTGTGTGTAAATGTCATTTTCTCCAACACCATTAAAGCACATGAATTGTATTACAGGCAGCAGCAGCAGCAGCAGCAGCTTTGGCCAGAAAGGAAAAGAAAAAATAAAAGATATTGCACAAACAATGATGATGAGAGATAGATGTTCTGGAGGAGTAATAAATAAGTGAAATGAAAAACCCAAATGAGGCCTTTTATTAAAACCACCACCCAACCCAACACCCTGTTTAAAATAGTACTGTCTTTAAGTCCCACAAACCCTAGCTAAAACCCCATTTTAATCACACACAAAAAAAAAATATTGGAATAGTAATTCAAGGATAAGGAAAACAAAACTCCAATATTTCAAGAACAATCAAACCTCACGTGTGCTACACATAAAAACTACACAAGTGGAGGGTTGATGATCATGATGATGCTTTTTTTCAATCTCTATGAGTGATGACTTGTTGTATCATGCCGATCATCGCTTCCTCCACCACCGCCACCATGATGTGAGTGAGACCCGCTCGCCTGTGATTCCGATATGCCGGATGCCCGGTAGGGATTTAATCCAGCTAGCATATTCAAATGACCTAATTCACTCATCCCACTATTACCAGCACTAGACCCACCAATACTTGTAGACCCCAGTTGCTGGCTAGGCAATAAGGTAACAGGAGCAGGAAAATTCATAAAATGTAACCCACTAGACATGGTGCTCCTGTACAAACCACTGTTATTAACAGAAGGAAATGTCCATATAGGATCTCCGCTCATGACTTGATTATTATTGGAATTAGCCAGCATCCAAAAATTTGCTGGAATTTGTCCATGACTAGCTGGAACTGCCCCACTACTGGATTGCAACAGGTAGCTTCCCATCTGATGCTGTTGCGATGATGATAAATCTAGCTCGGGCCTTCTTTTCCTGTTGAAACTCTCTTCTGTCTCCGTTGATAACTCCAGTGAAGAATTGTCTCGCAATTCTTGCTTTGCTTGCATCATTGCGTTCAGATTGTTACTAGATTGGAAACTTAAAAATGTCGGTGGTTGTGAGGTCTCTAGCCCAATTCCAGGAAACAAACTGCGACTACGTTGTTGCAGTGAAAAATTTGGGCTAAAACTCCCTGATCTTAGCTGAGACGGAATTGACATGCTTGAACCTGAGCTGCGCAAGGATATGTTAAGGGAAGTGAAATTAGCAGGGATTGTTCCGGTGCCTGTGGCAGCGATCACAGCTGGTTCTGCTTGTTGAAGTAACCACTCGACGGTTTCACCGTCTGATTTGTGGCCAAGTTCTTTAGTGAGCTGAAAAACCCTAGCAGCGCAGAGAGCTGGCATGCGAATTCTGCGGCCACGTCCATCCACCTTGGTGTGTCTGTCCTTTGTTGATGTTCGTTTTGGAGGGGGTTTCTTCGATTGTTCTGCAGAAACAATTTGGAGATTAGAGGTAGAGAGGTTTGCGTTAGTTTTGTTGCTGTTGTTGTCGTTGTCTGGTTCGGTAGTGGAGATGGGAAGAGAAGGGTAAGGAGAAGAGGACGAGCAAGGCTCGTCTTCTTTCTTTTCCAGTAATTGGAATGGGAAGTTTGGGCGGTGTTTGTGGTGGTAGTGATGGAGCTGATCATCACCTCCTTCCATGATAGCATGAAAATTAATATGTGGGAATTTCTCCAAAGGCTTTTTTCCTTCTTTTCTTTCTGTTTTTATTTTCTATGAGAAAAAGATTGAATATTTACTAGAGTAGAGGATAGGAGACTGTGTTAAGGGAGAGGAGGGGGGGGAGAGAGAGAGACCCTTTTTCTGGTTTCTCGTTTCTCTTTTGGGTGCCTGGAATTCCCTCCCTTGAGAATTGATGTTAGAGAGAGGATAAGGAAGGAAGAGCTGGACGAGCTTTAAGCAACAAACATAATGAGTGAGAATTATCTGGGGTAAGCTTTAAAAAGCAATTTTTTTTAACAAAAAGAAAAATTTTGCTTTGTTGATGTGTCGAGAAGCTTTTAATTTTACCTTTTAAAAAAAAATAGGAGAAAAATCAGGCCTCGACGTGTGATCTGCTTCACAGATCAGTCCCGATGTTCAGAACTTAGAAAAATATGGCTCAGCCTTTCAACATTGTAAGTTAGCCATTAAATTAATGATAGAGAAGTGTGTCCTCAACGCCTTGTATGTTTTTTTTAAAAAAAAGAAAATTTCATTAAAAATGTATTAAATAATATTTTATATTTTTTTAATGGCACATTAAAATCATCAAAAAATACTCTAAAAAATCAATTTAATAGTTTTTCAAACAAAAAAAAATCTAAAAATACCTTAAAAAACAAAAACAAACACAATATCAAGCATGCACTGAACTTCCAATATTAAGAAGGTAATTAAATCAACAATTAATACATTTTGCTGATGTGAAATTATTTGATTTCTTTTCTCCCAAACGCATTTAGTTTCTTTTCTCCCTTCCTCCCCATCTACCACCGCTCACTCCTTATTTCAAAACCTTGCCCTTGCTTTCACACCTTCATCCCTCCACTCATGTTATATTTGACCATGGAATATAGCATCATTTTCCAATTTAATTACAACCCATCACTGTCCTATTTTAATTCAACAATGACTATTTTGGATGAATTGTGTGCTTAATTTGGGTTCTTGCTTCCCTAGAAGAAAGTGTTTAATATTTTCTTTGATATGCATAGTAAAAATGGTGGAAGTTATGCACGCAATATGTTTCATAAAATGTTCGGGAGAGATGTTTCTTATAATATTTCAATGGTTTAGGTATGCAAGAAAGAGAATATTGATTGAAACTTTTGTTTTGTGCTGTTTGTGGTGAACAGGGAAGATCTAATTTCAATGGTTAATTAGGTATGCAAAGTAATTGTTTGAGCAAGCACATCATCTTGTCATGAAACTCCAATCTTCGTTTAGATGGTATCCAATATTATTTTAGTTTGTACAAAAAACGTTGCTTTTAACCTGTTATTTGCCTGTATAATATGGTTTTTAGTTTAATTTTCATGATATAAAAAAAGGGGGGGTTTAAGCTATTTATAAGTTATATTTATAATCAGGTTTAAATTGTTAGTTTTTAAATTTAAATAAAAATTATTAATGTAAATATTCTAAAATGATAGTAGGATAAGATCATGTCAAAGCATGTTCTTGCAAGTTGCATTTAACATGATATTTAACCTGTAAAAAAAAATGATTTATAAAAGCTCCCAAGGAAAATAAACAGTAGTGGACCAATCAGTGTTGATGTTGAAACGTTGAGTCCATATTCAGAAAGGTTTTGAAAATGGAGGACTGGTATGTAAAATGCGTTATAAGTAGAGGACTGATTTGGTAGTTAAATCTTTTTTGTTTTTATGAATTTGGACAGCAATGTTCCTTTTTATTGTGGTGGACAGTCCCTTTGGTTCAGACTCCACGTGAGGTGCTCTTTTTATCATTCAATCCATAAAGACAGTGCTGGCCAGAGGTGGGCCCAATCCCAAGTCAAAAATTTGAGAGACTTATTATTAGCTGGGTCCCATTTCATTCTAGCAAAGGAACCTGATAGGTGGACTCTACTTTCGGATTGCAACACGTGGCGTGAGGATTACAGTACATGATCTACTGCGATAACAGGCACCATAACTCGCACATATATGTTATAGATTCCTCCAGCCTTACAACCGCGCTGCGCTACGACTAGGATTTCAATTGGTTGCTTGGGATTGTGATACGGATTTTTTTATGAAAAATTTTAATTTATTTTTATTTTTAAATTACAGTTGAAGAATTATTAATTTTTTTTGTGTGATTAAATAATTTTAATGTATTGATATTAAAAATATATTTTAAAAAATAATTTTTATTGTATTTTCAGAGAAACACTAGATTAAATTTGCTATTATATGATAATCAAACTTGAATCTTAAATTTATAATTATTTTATTAGAAAACAAAATGATGTTCTTTATTATTAACAAAATAAATGAAATATAACTTTCAAATTTGAAAAGAAAGTTAAATGTGCATGATTGTGCATGCATTTTGTTATTACGAACAAATTCCCATCACTTTTAATTAAAAAACTTAATTTATAAAAAAAAGAAGTTAATATCACATATTTTTCATTTTTGTTTTAAAATATCGAGTTTGCAATAAAATATAAAAATATTATTCTAATTTTTTTATTTTAATGTAAAAAAACAAAAATCAATTTTCAATATTTTCAAAAAAAAAACTAAAGTGATTTTAATAAAATATGTTAGTGATTGTTGGCCTTTTGTTTTTCAAAAAATAATTATTAGAGTTATAATTTATTTTTTAAGTGATATTCCATAGATTTAATTATTAAAGATAATATTTATTTTTTAAAATTAAATAAGAAAAATATTATCATAAAATCAAGAAATAAAAAATAAACCAATCACACTCTAATTATTTAATAAAAAATATTATTAAAGATAATACTTAATTTATTAGATTAAATAAGAAAACTATTATCATAAAATCAAGAAATAAAAAATAAACCAATCACACTCTAATTATTTAATAAAAAATATTATTAAAGATAATACTTAATTTATTAGATTAAATAAGAAAAATAAAATAATTAAAGATATTATTTAATCTCTTAAATTAAATAGAATAAAATAGAAATAACTAAAGGAAATATGTATTCTTACCAAAAAGCCTTAAATATTTAATATTTTTTTATTAAAGATGATATTTAATTTTTTATACTAAAGATAATATTTAATCTCATAAATTAAATATAACAGAATAAAAATAACAAAATGAAATATTTGTTCTTACCTTTAAGCATTAAATTGAGTCTATGTTCTTGCAGCTTCGCAAATAAATAGTCACTCCCTTGCTTAGGTGTAGACGCTGTAATTGAACCACAATGGGGATGAGGAAGCAGAAGATATGGCCGTGGTGAAGGCATCACTGTATCTCTTCACACTGCCGACTATGCAAATGAAGCTAACTTCCCTGCGATCACATGGACCCCACATTCTTTAACGTTTTTAACAATAATAAAATAAGAAGTTAGTCTTCATATTAAAAGGAAAAGATAGACATAAGCACAAATTTTTTAATCATTTTATTTTATATTTTCTCATTTATTTTATTTCAGAAGTTAATTCTTGTTCTTAATAACTAACAATTTTTTTTCATAAGTGTATCATAAAAAAAAACTCACTTATACAAAAATATATAGATAAATTACAATATTTTTTTCAAAGCATTATAAAATTAAAAAATATTTAAAAATATTAATCACTATTTAAAACATTTAACTAAATAGTTTAAGAAAATAAAAGAAATGGTATTAAGCAAAATTTGATAGAAGAGAATCAATTAAAAAAAATATTAAAGTGAGGTCTATACGCTCTAGCAATTATCAAAAAGTCAAGGCATATTGAGAACTAGAAACCCAAATTCACATGCTTGGCCATGTTTTTTTTTTTTTGAAATAAATAACATATTTGCTTCGTTTTTTTCTAAACATGTGACAAGTTGCCTCTTAAACTATTTTTTTATCATCTCCAGTTACCATAAAATCATATTATAGGTTTTTGAATTTTATAAACTTATTTTTTAACTTGTTTTTACTTGAAAATATCTTAAAAACACTAAAAAGATCTTGATAAAGTCATTATCAACCTCCAACACATTTTCTAATCACTCCAAAATTCTAAATGGATAATTTAGTTTTTTTGACATGGTTATAGAAAAACATTATTTCTATTAAATTCCTTTGGAGAAGACAAACAAATTAACACAAACAAAAAAATTAATATTTTTTATGGTTAAAATTGTTGTCATTCAAGCACTTTCTCTCTCATTAAAAATTTCAACAAATTCTCTCTTGTCTCTTAATATACAAGTACTAAAACATGAAGAAAATAAAATTTGATGTTAAAATATTAATTTTTTTAAAAAAGGGACCAAATAATAGAAAAATAGAAACTTTTAGGATCGGACTATATTCTTGTGCTCAAAATCTACTTGAGGCTTTTTTTGTTGTTTTTTGTCAAATGCAATCATTGTTTTTTTAATTTATGTTTTTAATCCCAATTCCAAATACTAAAATGTAAAGAAAATAAATTTGGTCTTGAAATGTTAATTTAAAAAAAATAGGAATCAAATGATAGAAAAATAAAAACTTTTAGTATAAAACTAAAGTTTCATGTGCGAACTCTATAAGGAGATTGTTTTGTTGTTCTTTGTCAAATGTAATCCCTATTTTTTTGTAATTTCTATTTTTAGTCCAAAATAAATCTTGATTTGGCAAAATTGAAACCTAACCAACTCTCAATTACCAATAAAAACATAAACATGAGATATAACTTGAATTAAAATAAATATAAATAGAAAAAACCATAGTAATGTACCTTAGGAGGATGCAATTGAAAGGTTTCCAAGTTTGATGACAAGAAAATAAATTTCATTAATCAAAATAAACAGTGCAATTCATAATATTTTATGAGATGGACTATAGTGAAATATCAACTTTTTATAGTTTCTTGTATAATAACTAGTTAATTTTTCTCGAAAAACTTTTTAAATTTATTTTTTATTTAATAATATGATAGTAAAAGAAATACACTTTCATGGAAAAGACAACAAATAAAATTATAGAAGAAATGTTTTTTTTTTTAATTTGTCTTTATGATTATGCAATAAAATGATTTTTTTAGCAACATATTTCTTCAAGCAATCAGAAGGAAAAAAAATAGAAAAGGCTACAATTTAAAATCTTAAAAAATGTTTTATTAAACAAAATTTTACATTTTTTTAGTAGTGGCATTGTTTTTTGAATCACAAGTAAAGGAAATTAAAATATTTTTTTTGCAAAACATTTAATAATTTAAAACAATTAGGAAAAATATATATCTTCTATCTAAACTACAGTTTTTATCAATTCATTTCCTTTTTTTAAAGAAAGAAACTTTTTTTTTTGTCAGAAGCATTGTGTTTTAAATAAAAATAAATTGCAAAAATCTAAATAATTCAAAATAACTAGGAAAAGTATATATCTTCTATCTAAACTATATTTTCTTATCAATGCATTTATTTTTTAAAGAAAAAAACCTATTTTTTATCATAAGCATTGTATTTAAAATAAGAAAAATTAGCATGATATGAAAATCAAGTTTTAATAAAAGAAACACATTGAAAATCATATCTTGAGATTTTGTATGCAATTAAAGAAATAATTGGATAATTAATCTTTAAAAAATATTTTAAGAACTAATAAAAAAATATAAATTTAATTTCATAGAGTATTCATGAATAGAAATTAAAAGAAAATTGCATAATAGGTACATATAAAACAATTAAAGAGATGATTACTAGTATTATAAAAAAAATAATAATTAGAGATGATTACTAGTATTATAAAAAAAAAAAATCGTATTTAAAAATAAAGGTAAAATTGAATGCTATTAAATAGAATAATATCTCAAATATAATTTTAATTATTTTATTATGATCAATTTTAATAAATATTTAAAATAATAATAATAACAATAATAATAAATTATTTAAAACAAGCCCAGATGTCTAGATTCGGATGGGCCAACACTCCTAGCTCTATTGATAGCTCAATTTTTTTTTTATCACCCAGTCTAGATTTTGTTAATTAATAAATTAGACAGCATATTGCATACTTACATAAATTTTAGTTATCTAAAGTGGTAAAAGTTGGGTTTTGATTTCTTTGATTCAAATAAACTCTTTTTTAACTTTTTTTCGCCTATAAAAATTTGAGGATCAATAAATTCATTTATAACTTCGAATCACCCTGTAATTTGTTAAAAAAATAACATGAATAAAATAAATCTCAAGTCCCTATTTATTCTTTTCAATAAGACGATGGATATAAAAAAGTATCTCAATGACACTTCTCTTGACAATTGAAACTTATGATATCAATATTGATATTTTTATTATTAAAATATAGACAACTGACCGTTTTCTTTCTATTCTTTTATTTTCTATTGAATTTCTCTCTTTTCTATCAAATTTAGGGATTGGAACATCAATTACTAAAACTAAAGGGAACAAAAATGAGTTAAAGGATAATTTTTTTACCAAATTTAATATATTCATGCGTTTTTGAGTAACACCCACTTTTTTTGTTTGGTATTCAATTTGGATCAATCTTATTTATTTGTGTTTTATTTTACCAATCTTAGTTAAATTCAATTAAATCGGCCTATAATTAAATTCTAAAATCATTTTAAACAGCTCGAATACTCAAAACATGTCAAGATGAGGAAATATAAGCACATGAAATACCATAAACATAAAATAAAAGGTTAAAATCAAAGAAACAAAAGTTCAGTGATGGAAACATAATAATAATAAATAAAAAAAGTGCATAGGTACTGCTACTTTTCCCAACGTCTTTTATTTTTATACTATAACTAGATAGTTGCTTATACAAACCTTTCACTTAAATTATAAGTTCATTTGTGTTTAATGTTTTTATTTGAAATATATTTTTTATTTAGTTATACAATAATAAAAATATGTTTATATTTTTAAGATTTATAACATTTATTAAGAGGACTTTATTAGTAAATATTAAATATTTTGTCTTACTTTAAAAAGAATTCTATGACAAAATTAAAAAAACTTCTACGCTATATAAAAGTAAGATATTTGTTTGTTTTTGCATGTCATAATACAAAATTTATGTCAATACTAATATATAACTCAACTCTAACTCTAATAAAAAAAATACTAAAATATTAAAGCCCTCGCTTGGGCGGTTGTTGTATTTTGTTTATATTCAAATTAATAATAGATTCTTGAATCACACAAAGTCCATCATCTACTATGAATTTCATGGTCAAATCCATTTATCATCGATCGAAGTCAAAGTCACTGTAAATACAATATGTTTCTCCATAACTCCATGATCTCTTTTTACCTATATTATTTAATAATGCTATTGCAATACTAGGATGGTCTGATTTTGATTAGTTGAATTATCTGTAGACCAATAATATTTTATCATATTAATATTTTGTGTGGTGATCTTGCTTGTTTAAATATGATGTTAGTTATATGATTTTTTTTATTTGTAACATTTTTTTTTGTATTTAAATAGAAATATAATGAATTCATTATATACATATGAAAGATGTTTATTGATCAGAAAAAATTGACAAATATACTACCAGCTATATATGTATTATCTGAAAATTAATAAATATAAATAAAAATATTAATAAAAAAATTATATTGGTAAATTACAATGAATTTCCCTTACAAAATATTTCTTCGTTATGTCTCTAGATATACATCGACATAAGTTTTTTGTTTTTGTATACCAGGAAAATTACATTATAAAATGAAGGAAATGAAGGAATGAAAAAAATGAAAAGAAGAATTAATTCTAAAAATTTGTGTACAAAAGTATTAAAAATTAAATTAATATCTTCTTAGATCAAAACATATTTTGGATTATATTTATTTAATCCAAACATGTATGTATACATATTGTTTGAAATGAATTAAGAAAAAAACAAACTACTTTAATAGAAGGAAACAAAAAAAAATCATTTAAGGATAATTTATACCATCTATATTCAATTTAAAGGATGAAAGTGAAAAAACATATTCTAATCATACCAAAAAAATTTAAAAAATAAAGATCAATATCACAATAACTACTATTATTAATAAACAATATAATCACTATTACTATTATTATTATGACTATTATCATTATCTTTATCATCATCATTATTGTTGTTGTTGTTATAACTAACATTATAATTATTATTAGTATTGAAAAAATAAAAATCATGAACTTGATTTGAATGATAAAATTAAAAACTAAAAAAAAATTGACAAAAAAACCAAGAAAAAAAAATAAATAAAAAAGGGGTCAAATTGAAATCACTATTATCATTGAAAAAATAAAAATCATAACTTGATTTGATAATCAAATTGCGAGCAGTAAAAACTTTCATAAAAAATTAAGAAATTAAAAATAAAAAGATTGAATTAAAATACCTTATATATACAAATAAGAATCAATGGTTAAATTGAAAACAAAAAAAAATTCAACAAAAAAAAAAAAAAAGCAATCAAAACTCAAAATGTGAGAGACAACAAGGAATAATCTAAGATAATGAATGAACAATTTTGACAACCTTAAACCATTGTACATCTCATCCAAAGTATACGGTGGTTTTAATGCTCCAATAATTTTTAAATAAAAAATTAATATTTTAATAATAAATTAAGTAATTACCATCAACCAAATTGAGATTAAAAAATTAAAACACTCCAGATAATAATAAATTAAATATCTTCCATCCAAGCATAAATATGTAATTCTATTATGTATAAAAAAAAATATCTAAATACCCCAACACAACACCACTTATGATTTTTACTCAATGAGATATTTTGATTATTTTATTGTTTATACAACATTTAATGGATAAAAATACCCTCAAACATATTAATAATGATTTATAAACCCAGTAAAAATAACAAAATACCCTTAACCTAAGGCATTTATTTTTTAACAGAAATGACAAAATAACCACTACATTGTAGTGTTGAATAGGAAAACACGTGGAGGGTTACAATAAATCTCTCATGCGTTCTAGTATATTTATTATTTGTTTGTTTGCTTTTTTTTGTGTGTTTTATTTTTTCTTGATCAATTTCATCCATCATTTTATTTCTTTTAACTTTTTTTTATATAAATTTAGCTCTTTTTTTTAATTGTTATTTTTTATTTTTTTTATTTTATCCTTCATCATTTTATTTCATTTCATTTCTTTATCAAATTTTAATCACCATTTTGTTTTGTTATTCTTTTCTTAATTTATTTTATTTTTCAATCTAATCATTAATTATTTTCTTTTACTTGGTTTTTATGGCAAATTTAATTCTCAGTATTTTGATAACTATTACAGTTTCCATTACCGATTACATTATATCACATTATTTCAAACAAACCTCAGAACCAAAAACCAAAGTATTCAGACAGACAGCGACTGGCACTTCTGTGGATGCCACGCTGTTGATCATCTCCCTGCGTCGGCTTCAATCTCCCTTCTTAATTTGGCTCCCACATCTTCACTCACTCCTCTATCTTGCTGCATCTCTCTTTGCACAACGCTAAAAATGAAATCATTTTTCTGCTTTTGGATTTTGCTAAAATATGACGAGGGATGGAAAGTGTTGTTTTTCTTTGTCGGTGCATGCATTTGGTTTCGAGGAGACAACCTGTAGAGGGTTGATGTGTAGACAAGTGAATGAAACTAAGCGTGCCTACTTTTGGCCACCAAGAATTTAATGTCAGCACAATAACAAGGTAATTGTGCTTACCTTGTGCCCGCGTATCTGCCACCCAAAAACAACCATGCTCTGCCTCCCTCTCTCGCCATCTCCGATGGTAATAAGCTAGTATCAGTGCCTGCGCTTGGTTGAACAAATGCTGCGAACGCATCTACTTCAACAACATTAATAAGGCTAATACATAAAAAGCGAGTTCTGTGTAGCAAAATAAATAAACCAGGCTAAACATTTTTGGTGACAAATGATACAAACTGCATAGCATAAGACCAGCCCGTGAGCTATAATATGAAAGTGTATTTTGTTACAAGGACTTGTCCAGACAAAACCGAATGGACCAAAATCCAAAATTTAACAAGAAAGGACTCTGGAAAAATCTGCAAGTACCAAAATCCAAAGTCAAACCATAGTATTATGTGATCGACTCGGATCAAGATCTGAATCACAAATTTTGAAGAATTCACACTAGGACATCATCATTTAAAAAAAAAACAAAACAATGTTATTTTTGTTAAAAAATAAATAGTCAATGGGTTACAAAGTCTTGCCAGATCAAATTTATCATTATATCAACTTGGGTTTTTAACCGAGTAACCCAAGTTTGTCTTTCTCTATTTTTTTAAACCCAATTTAGTTTCGGCCTAGTCAGCTAGCCTGAGTTTTAAAACCATGTGGAAAGCTGGAATAGTCATCTTCAGAGAGGAGTGATCCTTGTTTTTCCACAACTTGCACGCTATAGCTCAAGCGATTCTGCGGAAAAGTACATGTAAGCTTGAGATTTGGGAATGAAGATGTCATGCTTGAAAGATAGGTAGTGTGCCTCTGAGTTGCTAAAAGCTGGAGAAGATGGGAAGGGTTAGACAAAACATAAATGAAAATAAAATACAATGGTTTTTGGAATCATAAAACCTCGACATCCCTTATTTTCCATCCTGATTTTCCAGTACATGTTCATTCATGTTCCCATCTCTTTCATACTTTAGCTCCATATTTTGTTGTTTTTAACTAATATATCATGGTTTCTAGTAGCAATTATCATCTCTTGAACTTTCTCATGTTACTTTTTCTGTACACGGAGCCTGTATTATCTTCATTTCAATGCCAATCTCAACAATTTAATTTTTTTCTTCAGGTCACATACACAGATTCTAACCTAACCCAACCCATCTATTTGCCTAGGTGACACTTTATCTTCATTGCAGCTCTTACCCCCTCTCTCTTCTTCGCTTACGTATTACCAATGCAGACATGACTATGTATACTCACAGTTCCTTTCAAGTAGACTTCATAGAAGCGTGCTGTCCATTCCTTTAATAAAACCAATTATGGGAGCACCAAACCATGGTGCATGAATTTATCCAAGTGATACAAGAACGAAATAAAACAGTGAGCAGACCGTCGCAGAGTAAATTGGTCATCAATCACGGCATCGCAGAGTAACTAAAATAAGAAAGATACCTGAATTAGTTGGTGATGAAATAAACAGCAGAGTACATTTGTTTGTTAGTGAAAGGCATCGTGCACTGGCGGAAACAACGGCAAAATCATTAAAAAAACACTCGAGATTGGAGGCCAGAACAACATGAGCAGCGATGGTACAAGCTAAAGACCATAAACAAGCACGGTAACGGTGCAAAACAACATCAGGAACATTACCGACCGTCAAGGTTTGTCAACAGGATGGCAAACATCACAGAAAATGAAAAGGAAACTGAATCAGTATGCAAGACAGAACAGAAACAACACGCGGAAGATCCATGAAAGATTTCCCTCGCGAGAGATAGGAAAAACACTTGCGCATCGCACACCAAGGTAAAGAAAGCAATAGACACATGAAAAAAAACCATCCCCAAAGCACTAATGTGTCTAGCATGACAGCTAATATCGAACAAAGGTCCTTTTCAAAGGAAACTAACTATGAAAGAAGCTGGAGAAAACCCCAGAAACCAAAAACCACCCAAGAATCTTGAATAAATAAAGGTCCCTAACCTGAGCCAATCTTACATTGATAAAAAGCAAGGACTAAAATGGCACACAGCATTCAAAAAGCATACAATTGGAAGTCTCAACAACGAGCCCATGATCAAATCTGAAGCTTTCTCCCAAGACCTTAAGAAACAATGAAACATGGCATGAAACCATGCTGGACCCTTCACGATTCACACATGATTTTGAGGCTCATGAAAATGAGAGGAACAAAGAGACAAGATAATGAAAAACAAAAGCCAAGGAATATACTCCATGCACTTGAATTCTTACAAGTCAGATACTAGAAATACATAACATATCACCCAAAAAAAACAAACTGACAACTCCATTGATGTGAATCAAAGAATTTGAAATTGCATTCATATTCAAAAGAGGGCATTAAGCATTAAAAATAGGAAAGAAAAAAGAAACAACAATTAACAATCTAAAACTTCAATGGGACTTAACTGATTATGAGCAACAACATGGAAACTACACAAATGGAATGGGAAAAAATAAATGAATCAGTAAATATTAAAAAAAAATAGCAATAATAATAAAGCGTCCAACATTAACAAGCACGGAGTGATATTAACAGGACCCCTCCTCTTGCTTCACTGATAAGCAATTTACAGCCAAATCAAGAGGACGCAGAGTAGCACTACCGTGTTCTCCCACTCTAACTTTGATCTGGGCAAATCAGGACATAAATATAAAAAAAGAAAAGAAATTAATGAAATATTTCAGAGAGGGAAAGAGTGCCTGGATTCCTACTCCAGTGAAGTCATGAGCTGATATGAATATAGGGCTTCTAAAAAACAAGTGGGAGATCGACAAGGAGATGGTGACGTACGTAGTAACTAGAAATGGATTGGCAAAATTCCCAGCTCTCCTTCCTTCCCATGCTATTGATACCTGACATGAAGATAGTGTTTGTAATTGTCAGTGTAGTAGTACTTTCAGCAAAACACATAATAATAATAATAATATATATGAAAATAATATTTTTTAAAAAATATTTTTAATATGCATCAAAATAGAAGAAAACAAAGAACAATAAAGAACAATTTTTAATTTTTTTTTTTATAAAACGTGATTTTCACCGCAAAAACAATCACTTCAGCCAGCAGCCGTGCATGTTATCAGGTGAAGCAGTCATTCATTCAAAAGAAAAGGCAGCCAGAAAAGAAAAGAGGTACTGTACTAACCTCATAGGTTCCATGACGATTGACATGCTTTTACATTTTTGTTGTTTCAATTTAGGTAACTGAGTTAGTATAAAGATAACTCCTTTTATACTCTATCTAATTATTTTTCAGTTAATTTTGACGGACTTGGGACACATGTCAACTTTTTATTAGTTATAGTTTCATTAAAAAATTGATTAAATATCCAAGGATAAAATAAAAAATTAGGAAAAATATAACAAAGTTTGTTAGAACTTTTTGTGAAATCTTTATTTATTTAGTGATATAAACTATTTTATGATTTTTAAATTTTCATTTTATTTTTTTAATTTGTTTTAAGAAGACAAGAAAAACAAGAAAAAAAGTTTTTGTTAATTTTTTAATAATTTATGCTGGATTATTTTTACCTTTTATTTTCTTGGCTAAGTTTTTACTTAATTTTCAAAATCCAAAGAAAAATGTTAGGAAAGGAATATATTTTATGTCGAAATGTAAGAATTATGAAATCTCAAAGATATAAAATCAGAATTTGTATGAAAAACTAAATTAGAAAACTTTGTTTATTAAAAAATTAATTAATTAATTAAATCAAGCATGTATCATCAATAAATTGATAATTTCATCCTTTGATGAAGTAAAAAACAAAGTAAAAATAAAAACACCTTTTCAAATAAAAAAATAGCTAAAAAATTAAGAATTATTAAAAAGAAAAAAATGATAAGATATCGCATAAATTAATAAAACAAATTAACATCAAAATGATAATAATTTTATTTAAGAAAAATGTCTTTTTAAAACAAAGTACAGAAAAATCCAATGTAAATAAAGAAATTGGAAAAACAATCTAGCTAAAAGTTGGTAAAAACATTTAAAAATTTTATTCTAAATTTTTAATATTTTTTTTTCAGAATCTTGATTTTCTTTTTTCTTTTTTTCCTGAAGTCCATTTTATTCTAAATTTTTAATATTTTTTTTCAGAATCTTGATCTTCTTCTTTTTTTTTCCTGAAGTCAAGAAGAATAAAAAAGCTGACATGTATCGCCTCTTTTAAAAAAATTAAAAGTGTGATACTAATTTCTTTTCTAAGTTTTTTTTCTTATAGATATATTAAAATAATATTTTTTTAATTTTTAAAATTTTATTTTCAATACAAGCATATGAAAATAATTAAAAAATAACTCAATAAAATAAATTTTAACAAATTTCTGTTTGAGCTGCGCTCGCGGGGGCTAAATAGAGCCATAAAGGACCCAATTGCACACTTAGTAATCACAGGAGTGCTTTTATCAAAAACCGATAGTACGGAGACTTGTAGTATTATTATGCCCATGTAGATGTTTGTTGGTCCTTCTCCTTTAATCTCCCTAACCATACCACCTTTACCTAATATGTATAGTGACATTAATTGCTTCATAATTTAATCAATAAAAGCCTTTATAATTATATTATTAATCTTTATCTAGAATAAAATTCATTTTTATCATAGATTTATCATGCATTATGCTTAAGAAATCATCATAGCATAATTTATAGTGCTCTTTTATTTATTTATTTATTCTTGAGGATCCTTGGGTGATCTGGAGGATATAGATTTGGACCCTATCATGTTCCCCTGGGAACAAAAACGATTATGTTCTACATTTAATCATTGATTTTAAATTCCATGATCTAGATTTGGTGAGAAAAAATAAAAGAATAAAAAAGTTAAAATGATAACATTTTTTCAATCATGCATGAAATCATATGTCTATTCAATTTCAATTCAATAATCGCATAGACATGAGAGGATCTAAATCTTGAAGGTATAATTCTCATATATCTAATTAGTATACTCATAAAATCAAAGAAATTAGATATCAATCCTCACAAGTCACCAAACTTATGATATGTTGGTATTATTGTTTTGTGGTTGTTATGTTGTGATGCTTTGGTAACTAGTTATTATGTTGTACTTATAAATATTCAACTAAATATGCTTGGTTAAATTTATTTATTTTATGTTTTTGAGATGTAAAATGACTAACAAGTACAATAATATATTAAAAATATATATTTTATCTATATTAAGTGATGAGTGACTTTTTAAAATTATATAACGCTAGAGTGATTTTAAGTTTGAAAAACTAGACACGTATTACTGTAATAAAATCAATGTTGTATTTAATAATAAAAGATTTTAAAATTCAATCACGTAATAAACATAGATTTAATGAACTCCAAGAACACCCTCAAAAAATCATTTTTTTGGGCTAAATCAAGAGAAAGACGCATCTCCTTGGATTCAGCTAGAGAAAGGATCAAACTCTCCTAAACTTAGCCAAGAGAACAAACCAATTTTTTTTATTCAACTTAGAGAAAAAGAGTTTAGTGCAATGAACATAACTATATTTTGAATCCTAGTTTTTTTACATTCTTAGATGTAGTGGAGGAGATAGGAGGCTAGCAGGAATCCTAACCCCTGCAAGGAAATGTTTTTTCCAACACCTTCCTTAATAATGTTTATAGCTTCAGCGTACATAGTAAAAGAATTGAAATCTTGACCCTTCTAAAATATTTATTCTAATTTTGCCTCCATGTTTTATTTTTTTGGCTCCGCCCTTGGTTAGGTGTACAAAATCATCTAAAAATTTAATATATTTTTTATTATTAATAATATTATATAAAAATTATTTTTTATTAATATTGATACGTGTGTCATAAATATTTTTTTCATTAAAATTATCAAACTAGCATTACATTTTAGCTTCTTATCTTTATAAAGCTTCTTATTTTTACAAAGAAACACATGAGTTATAAATAAATAATAAATTTTTCAATTAAAAAATATTTAAAATCTCTATTATCTACTACATAATTATTTTTAGAGTATTTTTATGTAATATTTTTGTATTTTCTCTTGAAAATTAATTGATTTATTCATTAGTGAGTCCTTAAATTTACTAAAGAAAACTATCTGCAGGTGCCATGTAACTGCCTTCAGCCACTTAGTTAGGAAGAATTAATCAAACTATTAAAATTAAAAAATTAATTAATTATTCAACATATAAATCTTATTTTCAATTTATTTGAATATTTTAAGGCATTACGAACACTAGCTTCTTCAATACATGTAATTACAAAAAACAAAAAAACAAAAAAAAGTGGTTATTTAAATTGAAAACAAAAACAAAAACAACCCCTGACAAGTAGTTGTGCTTTCGAATAAAAGAAGGGGGTGCCCTGCTTTGTTTGAAAAGATAAATAGTTTTTTTAAAGTGACATTTATTTTACTTTCAAAGCAGAGCAGGTATCAGCCAACGCATTGCTTTAAGACCAAAAGCTGGCATGCTTTAAAAGCATAGCAATACTAAATAAGCACTTGATTTTAAAGTTGAGAAAATATTTGATACTGCTGTGTTGTGTTATGATGTGGTTGTTGCCATGTACTGCACTAGTTTTTTTCATGCTGTGTTAGTAAATATTTAATGTATTTTGCTTATGAATGTTTAAAGAAGATCAGTGATACTTGGTTTTATTTATTATTGTGCCCTTGAGATATAAAATTGAGGTGTTGAGGTGTGATTGTGATTGTTTTTAAAAGTATTTTTATGTTAAAATATATTAAATATTTTTTTTTATTTTTTAAAATTATTTTTAGATCAACACATTAAAACTATCTAAAATAAATAAAAAATTAATTTTTAGTAAAAAATCAAAATTTTTAAAAACATGAATCGATGTATATCTCTAAATAGGTTCTAATAAGTATTATAGCATAAAAAAATTCTAAAAAATATACTTGATTTATATTAATTTATATCAAGTGATTTATGACTTCCTAAACTCATATGATATGTGTAAATGTTTTTCATGATAGTGGTTTTTAAATTAAAAAAATTGATTAGGATGATAATATATATAGAACTATCATTTCAATAAAAATAATAGTATAAAAAAAGGAATTTGAAATAAAATCACTTAAAAGTATCTTTGATTGTGTAAATAAAAAAATAATGGAGAAAATTGTTAAAGTTATACAAAATTATAATATATCGATTAACTACATGTTTTTCAAATTTCGAACAAAACAGAACACAATCCCCGCTCTCAAATGTTTCATACGTTTCAAGGGGTGTTTTCGAGAAAGGCAGAGGTTAAGAGAGAATAATATAAATTGTATTTGAGATTTTTATTAATAGTTTAATTATTTATATTAAATTAGTTTTTGAATATGATATTAGAGTTTTGATAATTAATAGGTTATGAATTAAAAATTTATTATTTTTATTTATTTAATAAAAATTAAATATAAAATAATATGAACTTATATAAATTTTAAATTTCAATTACATTCCCGTAAATCTCGTATTATTTTAATTGGACGCTCAGGTCGCCGTGGCTTGTTATGACCAAACTCGTATTGTTTGCACATGAGACTGCAGTGGCCAAGATGCAAATCAGGTCATGTCAAATCAGATTGATACAAGGCATCCAAATTCTTATCGTCTATGCACTTCATTATCATCCCGACGAGGAGTGTGTGAAAGCGAGGCTGTGATTATATCTTAAAATATCCTTTCAAGAAATATATTTAAAATAATATATTTTTTTATTTTTTAAAATTTATTTTTAATAGTAACCCATCAAAATAATTTAAGAATAATAATTTATTACTGAAATAAAATCAAAAAATTTCTAAAGCACGGTTTAATCATAATTCCAAGCAGAGATCTTAATGCCTAGCCATGCATGGTGGCAGATCAGTAGCTGCTCATTAAAAAATTCATTTTGTCTGGTCGGTCGACTTTGAATTGAGTTGAATTGCCTTTTCAGCTTTTGACTCAAAAGAGTCTTTAACTTTAGTTATTATCCTTATTGTAAATTGTTTATGAAAATTAAACATCGGTAACCAAACTAAGCATTGATCTTTGAAAGGCCAATTTTGTTTCCCTTCGGAGGATGGAGATCTATATTTACCACATGGGGATGGCAACTGTTTCCTCAACAGGACTAGTTTACAGTATCGCTCTATGTTGCAGATGAAATCAAAGCCGTTTTTAACATTAAAAAAAATACACATTATTTAATAATATTATTAAATATATCCCAATATATTAATATTTATATTGATATGATTAACTTGATAAATTTAAATTCTACTTGGATACTGTATTAAATCGAGTTAAATTTCATGATATAATATATAAAATCCTTGAATTAAGTGATGAAATCCATTAGATTTAATAATTTTTTATTATTTTACATAATTATTCAATAGTAAAAATAAACCAAAATAGACATTGAAAAAATAAGTATGATTCAAATATTAGGATATTTATTTTGAGATTTCAATAACTTTATAAAAAAATAAATTAAAATAAAATTTAGAAACAAATTCAAAATTAAGTAATTGTTAAATGATAATACCAAAAAAAGAAAAAGAAAAAAAAAAGGAAATGAAAAGATGAAAAAAAACTACCGGCCAGGGGGTTCGCTGTTTATAAAAATAGTGAAACCAAATCCAGTTAACTTAGTTATTTTGTTTATAAAAATAGAATTTCATGGAAATTGGACTGGAGTGAATATTTTTACAAAGGAAAATGGGAGGAGTTTATGAATGTGAATAGCTTAATACCTCATATACTAATTTAAAAAAAAATAATTTTTTTATTTGTCTTAAATTAATATATTTTAAATATTTTTAAATTATTTTGACATGCTAATATCAAAATAATTTTTAAAAAATAAAAAATATTAATAATATATATTTTAATATAAAAAATTATTTAAAAAATAATCACAATCGTCCCTCTAAATAATCTCTGAAAGGCATCATGGCACGAGGCCTCTGGGTAGTGTTTTCTTCATGGGATAACCTTTTTTTTTCGTATAATATCATATTAACTTTAACTTTGCATAAATATCACATTAAAACGTTATCTCAGATGCAAAAGTTAAGCAATAGGGAGATTTTGTAAATAGCTTTATATTATCCTATCACAGTTTCAAATTAAGCATAAAAAATTATAAATTACTTTTTTTATCTAATTTTGTTACAAATTAAGATGCTCCAGCCCTAATTTTTAGAAAAGAAAATAACATAAATATAAGGGTATGTTAACGAGTTTGCTTTTTAAAGTTCATTTGTTTTAAAATAAATTAAACTAAATTTTTTTATATTTTACAATTTATTTTTCATATCAAAATAATTAAAAAACATAAAAAAAATTAAAAACTCAGATAGATTACAATTAAAAACATGTCCTCAGTTGAGTTACACTCTTTGCAAATATAAACTTGATTATTGCAGGTTTAATCATGTCATTCAAATATCGAATCTAATGAAGTGTATTAATCCCATAAAAGGAGGTCTTAAATCTTTACCAAAGAAGCAGCCTTGAAAGGAACAACTCGCTCTTCGTTGAACTTATAAAATAACATATTTTTTATTTTTTTAATTTATTTTTAATAATAACCCATCAAGATAATTTAAAATAATATTTTTTTTAAAAAAAAAAAACAAAGACAAGCAGCCTCTAAAAATAGCCTTTCCTCCAAGATTTGAAGGAGCGAGCAGATGCCTGTATGTTCTTTAAGATGGCATTCCTGCGCCATGGCGTGAGCTCTGCAAAGTAAAATGAGTGTGGTGTACGGCAAAAGTAGTGATGGAGATATCCGAGAGGGAGGTGTCATTTCTCTGGACTCAGATCTCTCCATGGCAGACCAAAGATTTGCTTTACTCGGAAACCACAGCCCCAACCTCCACGCCCCCACCTCCCACCAAACATTCTTTAACCATAGCCGAGTTTAAAATACTTGTTAAGCATTTTTGTTTGTTTGTTTCGAGAGATATGCATGTCAAGTGCCGAGGAGTGCTTGCCTCGCTACCTCTCCATTCTCCTCTCTCTCTCTCTCTGCCAACAAATTAAGTCTCGAGAGACAAAAGTCTGTGTTTTTTTTCTTGGATAGATTTACAATGTGGAATTCGAATTTGATGGTTCTCATTTCTGAACTTCCCATCCCTGGTGAGTTGGTTCTCATTTCTGAACTTCCCATCCCTGGCGAGTTCTAAGAGTATCGAAAAAGGGAGCTAACTAAAGATTGAATATTTTTAGCCAGTAGCACTACTTCACAATGGCATATGACTGCTGAAAAGTCACTGCGTGCTTTATTTTTTTATTAATACATCTTTCTATTGGCTTAACGAAAATATATGTTTTTATTGTAAGCATAATTTTTTAAATAAAAACCTCTTATTATTTCAAATGCAAGTTTTTTTTTTAATATTAAAGTAATATCTAAATATTTTGTATGGATTAAGCCAGGGTTAAAAAGAAACCATTTCTCACCTAAAAAACTGATAAACACTTGTCAAGAGAAACACATTGACATCAAATATTTTATTTATTTATAAAATTTAGCTAACTAATTGTTTTCTCTCTCTTATTCATCATTTTTCAGTGACTCTTGTACTTCTTTTTCAATCTTAAAGATTGAAATATAAACAAAAAAAAAATTAAGATCAAAACTTAAAAGCTTCAACTAAAGACTAAAAAGGAAAATGAAAACAAATGCATGTGAAATTTTAAAAGATGTGCTTCATGAAAAGTTTCCTTTATTTTCATTTTTTATCAGTAATAAAATTGTTTTTTTTAGTAAAAACAAGAATTAACTCGAATTTTTTTAATATTGTGTTAACCTTATAAAAAATAAAACAACATAAATTATTAAACACAACTAGGTATGAAAGAAAGGACAAAATAAGAAATTAGAGTAAAAAAATTAAAAAATCAAAAAAGAGAAAAAAATATTGCAATTCATTCATAACATTTTGTTAATGAATAAAAGCATCTTCCTCGCATCTTTTAGTTTCTATTAGTAAATAAAATAACCACCAATCTGATCTCTAGTTTGAATTAAACATTTTCTTTTAGAAAGTTGAATTGAATATTTTCACAAAGCCTTGAGCATTCAATTTTAACTTTCTATTTGAATTTAGTGGCCTTAATTTAGTAGCCAAGATGATCAATCTATCATCCCTTGAAATGAATATGGTTAATTATTGTCAAAGACTATAGTTTTTATGATCCTTTGTGTTTAAAGTCCTTAATCCTAGAGATCTATCCAAGTCAGCTGAAGAAATACTATCCCAAAGGCCTACTGTCTAAATTATTTAACTGTCCCTTTAAGGTAAAGCCTTGCTTTCCGTCTTGTTTAAAAGCCTTTATAGTTCTCATTGACTGCAAGGATGCTTATGGGGCAAAACACACAAAAAAAAAGAAAAGTGGCTAATATGCAAGAAGCTAAATTCAAAGGGAATCAATTATTTATAAATCAATTCACATAAGGTATAATGACGAGATTTTTGCTTAAAGATCAATCATCAAATTAACTCGGTAGATTCTTGCTTTATTTTATTTATTTTGCAAGAAGAGATAACTACGCGCAGCTTGCTCTTATGATAAATTGACAATGGTGGGCTGGTCAGAGAGAGACAGCACTACAGGTAAAGGGCGAGTCAATTAAAGGCATTCGGAATTGGAACAGTAACATGAATGATCGATTAAAGCATCTTACATCGTCAGTCCCCACATGCACAACAACAAACTGTCTTGTCTAGCAACTTCCACAGAGACGTCAGCTCCCAGTCTCCCACTACCTCCCATGCACTCTTCACCTTTAGTCTCCCATCTTGTGTTGATGTTGTGAAGTCTCGCTATAACCGTAGTTAAATAGGCAGTACAAAGCAAGCTCACACTTTTGAATGGAAGTTGGAAAATGATGCTAGTGCACACAAGAAAAAAAGGAGAAAACAAAAGCTTTTACAAGCATATTATATCTTTAATCAAGGTTCCTACACAGCAACGCAGAAATTCACTGTAATATAAGCATAAAAGGCTACTGCCCCTGCTCTTCCATTTACACCACATCACAATTATATTCTGTCTTGATATTTATGTCCCGTAATGAACCATGATGCATATACCACTATCATTATGCCAAGGTAAAGGGAAACAAGAAAAAGAGACCCTTTGGTTTTCATGCTTACAAAAAGCAAAGAATTAATGCCTTGGAGTCATGCCGCCTGTTTCATTGGAGTCTTGACGGAGACCTACAAGAATAGCTAAACAAGCTATATAGACATCATGATGGAGGTCCATTTCCCGGCAGATCATGATGCCATTGATCTGGGTTCAAGGATGCGGAGCCAGCAGTACCGGTGTTGATGTTACTGTTAGGGTGCCCTATGGTGGTGCTGGTGCTTATGCTCCACAAAACAGTATCAGAGACAGTAGGGTTGCTATTGCTTATAAAACCCCGATGCCAATTTTGCTGTTGATGAGAGGATGTGGCAGCTGGCCTGCTTGATTGAATCAAGCTCTCTTGATCATGTGGATAAGAAGAAAGTTCAACGCTCTTATTACCTCTATTATCCACATGGTAGAATTGCCTTTGCTGTTGATTTTGTGACCCGAAAGCAGGAACTGCACTGAAACCATGCAAAAGACCCAAATTTGAAGTATCTCCTAAATCACCACAAAGATTGACAGGTTGATTTAGAGGCTGAAAAGAGAAAGACTGTATTGGTGGTTGGTTATTATTCAAGGACTGAATTGCTTCTAAAGAAGTCAAGAATCCATCACCAGGAAAATAAGACCCCATTGAAGACATCCCAGGAGGAGGTGAAACCAAATTCCCTGATTCTTTGGTCCTCGAAGCAGGACTTACAGAATTACCTGAATTAGTGGTAGCAAGGATATTTTGCGGGTTTGCCAAGTTATGCTGCAAAAGTTGTGATTGTTGCTGTAGCTGTTGCTGTAACCGCGAGTCCTCGCCAGAACTAGAAGATGATGTTTTTGCGCGCTTTCCTTTTCGGCAACCACCTCCTACAGGAACATTCCTCATGGTACCACCAAGAGTCCAATACCTTCTACAAGTCTTGCAAAAGTATCGAGGCTGAGATAGACTGTAATTGTTGTAATAACAAAACTTGGTATTCAGAGATTCACAGCGAGGGCATTTTTGCGGCTGCTGCTGCTTATCATCTCCTTGAGTCGATTTCAATCTTCTTTCTTGATTTGGCTTCACATCCTCACTCCCTCCCTGCATCTTTCTTTGCATCGCTCTAAAAACCTAATCTTTTATGTTTCTTCTTGATTTTGCGCCTGATAAATATTTGCTGAGAGATGAATTGGGTTATTTTGGCTTTGTTGGTGCATGCAGGTTTTGAGACTAAACTGTAGAGAAGGATGGCAATTTCTTCAGATATAGAGAAGTGAGTAAAGCAAACCAAACGTGTCTGCTTTTGGCTTCTGAGAATCGAATGTCCACAGTGTAAAACCACGGTGATTGTACTTACTTGTGCATGCGTATCTGCTATCCAAAAACAACCATAGTCATAAATATTGAACAAGCCACGCTAGATTCGAAATCAGGAGCTCAATATCCCACCAAACCTCGCTCAAATCCTCCAAGATTTGTAACCCCCCTCCTTTTCTAAATAAGGTTAATAGAAAGATCACCTTCTTTTTATGTAAGAAACAGAAACGTGTGTACGGGTGTCAAGAAAAGACAAAGCCCGCAAAGAAGAAGTCTCAATCTGGAACTGAGACTATAGAGAGATTTCAAGAAAAGGATTCTGTAAGTATATCCAGTAATGACCAACAAGAAAGAAACACCAGATTGTATCTGTTCAGGTTTAGTCCCATCTCTCACAAACCCAGAGAAAAGAGAACTTTTTACAAGGCATCAAAATAAACCCCCAGTTTTATTGCCTTGATCAGACCAGTAACCTAAGACATAAAACATTAATCTATCAAAATAATAACCTCAAGTCACACGCACTAAATCTATGACCAGGACAGGCCAAGCCTATAATAGGGGATGGATTCTGTTGAAAGAGAGATCTAGCTATATCAGGTGTAGGGAGATTTTCTGTAGTGTATGATAGGGGATGGACCAGCGGTAAGAGGAGAGGCGGCGGGCGCGGGAGCTTTGCCTGGTCGTGAATATTACGGCGATGGCTGTGGCAGAGTTGATCAGCAAGCCTCTCCCTCTCCTTTTTTTAACTTTTTTTTGACAAATCTCTTGCTATCTCACTCATTCCACTTTACAACTAACAATCTTTCTATTCTATATTGTTTATTGAAATTTCTTGTTCTTCTTTTCTACTCTGACGTCACATTCTTAACTGTGCCACTTGGTCCACACCCGTTCTTGTTCAATTCTAAAAAATCATTGTTATTGCATGCTGATTTGTTGCTGCTGTTACTGCTGCTGCTGTTTTTATTAATTATTATTATTATTTAAATGTTAATATTGATAGGAAGGGATAGATAAACTAACGCAAAAATTTGACTTAATTATGCCATAATATGTTAAACACCGAGCCATGATCTTGTATTATTTTTAATAATATAATGTAAAGTGAAAGATAAAAAATCACGGGTTTCTCAAACCCTTGGTTATAGTAATGAAATATAGTGGAAGTATCTTTAATCTATTCTGAAACTCTATCATTCATAAAATTGATTTGAAAAATAACATACCAATTGTTTATATAATAACAAAAATGATATATTCTATATATAAAAATATAAAACTAAATATAAAAAATAATATTGAAATAGTTGAGAATTTATATATAAAAAAAAGTTAAGGCTGATAGCTTTTTTAATCTTGGCTGTTTATAGCTAGCCAAACTCTTATAAAATTGAGTTTATATAGCCTTGTAATTAAATTTAAACCTCTAAATTATAAATTTATTGTTATTTTTGTTAAACTCGTTGTTTAGCAATCCCAAACTTTTTATTGAGCTTTACCATGTTTATATGGTTCATAAAAGTATTTAAGCATCTCCATGACGTTTTATGTCAATCTCTTTTATTCACAAAATACTTGACCTCACATCAACATCTAAATCTATATATATCGACTCATTATTATAATAAAGATAAATATAAAAAACATTGAGACTTTAAAAATACTTATATTTTTTAGTAGATCAATAACATAAGAATTGCAAATCATTTTATTTATTATGCTATAATAATCATACTTCTTATGTTGTAACTTTTTATACATTCTTACCGAAAACATCTTTTTATGTAAAAACACCACTATCCCATCTCATTTCTTAATTACTTTAACATATAATTTTTACTAATAATTTCTTGTAATCGGTATTGGTTTTTACTTTAACATATAATTTTTACTAATAATTTTCTGTAATAGGTATTGGTTTTTAAGTTGAAGTATTTAAATTAAATTTTTTTATCTTATATTAAAAAATATACTCTTTTTTCTTAGAAATATAGAGTATATATATCAATGAATTTAAAATTTTATATTTAAAAAAAAATTCAAATATCATCTTGGTCATCCAAATCACGAGTTAACGTGCTAAATTGTTGCACCAACTGATTTTTTGATAAATTTGGACTAGTCCAGCTTTAGGATTAATCCGCATGACCAATTCAGGTTTAATAATTATGGTCTATTGTTGAGTTGTTGAAATTTGCAATTAATAAGTTTTTTTTAAAAAAATTATTTTTGATATAGTATATTAAACTGATTTAAAATAATTTAAAATATTAATTTAAAGTAAAATAAATTTAAAATTTTTAAAATATAAAAACAAATAATGCGTGGGTTTATAATGGCGAAGAGGGGATCTTTTTCTTGTGTAGGCCGGCAAAGATGGGGGGGGGTTCGCTACTGCTAGCCTTCTCATAAATGAGTCCATTTATACGCTGTTGGAGCAAATAAAAGCCCTAAGGCCGCAGGTTATGACCATCTAAACTGGGTCATACTATTTATCGTGTCAACCACGAGGGAAAAGGAAATGTGCTCCTTTTGTATAGTTGACTTTTGACTTTTATAGAATCCTACGTTAAGCTTGTCGTGGCTCCAGTGGAATTGTTTTTTTTTTTTATATATATTATTCATCATTTCTCTATTATCTGATAGTGCCATTTACTTGCTCCATCAAAACTTCCTGGGCAAAACCGCTCGTTTAGTCGCGGTAATTTACCTGACTTCGATGGATATTTGCCTGCCAAAACGCTGCTTGAACTAATAATTTCATAGAGTGTCAAATTTTATCTCAAAATGTCTTATTAGTTTAATTTTCTTTTTTATTTAAAAAAGGGTTGATTTTATCACGCAATTGGGAAGAACATGTTAAGATCCCCCTGGTTTTGAACGTGACAGGCAGCTCCAGTTTTGCATGCAATGTTTGTTCAAAGAACTCAGATTTGCAAACTTATGACTAAGGCCTTGTTGATTGAGCATTGAGGGTGTTTTTTTTTTGGTGTACAAGTTTTTGTTCATAGATACGCGATGGAGCAGACACAACTACTACACTATTGTATATGCAAGATAGTTTTGATTTTTAAATAATATTTATTAAAATATCAAATTATTCCTTAGTTAATTTCAATATAACCAAAAATCTGAATGAAAATGATAATTTACTCATTTATTGTGTTTTTTTTTAAAAAAGCTCTTAAATGTCAGTTTAATAAATATATTTTAAGAATAATTCTTGTCAATCTAATAATAAATAATGAAAGAAAAAAAAAATTGCGTTGCCGACACAGCCAGTTTATTGATTTTATATTATTTCAATCCGTAATAGTCTCCCGTGAAAGAGTTAGCCCTAATAGTGTTTTTTTCCTTTCCTTTTCTTTTTAATAGCTTGATGAGAATCTCTCTCGCTCTCATTTAGCTTACCTTATTGGTAAGCCATAACTGGCAGCCTCCCCCTTAACAGAGCCTAGTAGCTTGCAAAAGACCACCATTGATGATCAAAAGAAGAAAATAGCCAAAGGCAACATTGGGGTGTGTAAACTCCATTGATGGAGATTAACATAACTTCAATATTTAAGCGATCAATCCTCTCATGTGTAGAGATACTTGCACCAACACAGACCCAACCATGATGATCCAAATTATAGAGAACGGCATCGGCTGTCCCTTCGGTTAGTTGAAAGACCTTCAGCCATAGCATGACAGACATAGCCCAGCTAATAAGCCGTAATTAGGAGCTAGAAGTTAGGATTAAGGAAATCAATCCTCTCTATAACACTTAGCATTAATTATTAGGTTCGACGGGATTCCATTAATTCTCGGAAATTTGTACACACTTGCGGTTTCTTTCGCTCTCTTAGCGTAATCTGCCGCTCGGTCTCTATCATCTTCCGCTGCATGCCGTCCCTGAAAGACAATTAAAATTTCAACAAGAAGCATTAAGCTCTAAAGATTCGATAGATGCCCATATAAATTTTGTTTAATTAATTTATTGAAAGAATTTTTTACCTCGTTATATTTGGAGGCAGAGGTTGTGAAGCAGACCCGTGAGACTTTAGACGAGGAATTGGGGACGAGAGAAGGGGGCTGGGGGAAGAAGGCTCTTGCGAGATTGAGCATAGCGTTTCTGGTAATGCTAATGGCTGCCACTGCTGTTTTGTGTGTTTTTTTGGCTTGTGATGATCCTTTGGGTTGCCTCAGTGCAGGTTATATGGTGCCAAGAAGAGAAGGTGGCTGAGTTCGTTTGAAAGACACGATGGGGTTAGTTCATGCCACGTGTAGGATATGTTATTTCACCTCGTCGGTAGATCATGGATGGTTTACCAGGCAACACATGTTCCCTTGAGAGGGTTTTTTTTTTTTTTTAAATGAAAATGATCGCAGATATGTATTTCATCGTTATCAAATACAAAGTAAATTGGAAAGTCCACTAGATAAATCGTTGGCTTGGAGTCTTTGTTGGATTGCTGGTCTATAAATATCAAATAGAATCCTGGTATGCAATTATTGAAAGCTCTGTTGGGAACTAAAGACACAATTATTTAAACATTTTGAGTGTTTATTGATTAATTCAAACTATTAATACACCCTTCAAAACATTGAATATATTGGCTTTTATATTTAATGGAAAATTACAACCTTTAACTATCATAATCTAATTATGATTCTAACTAACCATTTCAATAAGAATTCTAATATAAATTCTTTTTTAATAAGATTTGTATTTATAATAAGATTCTAAAAGTATCTAACAATCTTTTCCTTAAACAAACATTCTTAAACACTTAGTTTAGTAATTATAGACTCTTCTTTAACCTTGTCTTGAACATCTATTTTACATTAGTGGTCTTTTATTCTTTCAAAAGGGTTTTTTAACTCTGAGGTATTGTTTTTTTTCAATGACATTAATTTTATTATTCTTATCTTTTTTTCATTTTGTTTCTTTTATAGCATCATCAAATGTAACAAGATTATAACTTGAGAATAAAGCAAAATAAGTAAGTGGGTTATCGAATTAATTGATTGTAGTTACCTCATAATCACTTATCCATATATGTTTTTTTTTTTTACACTTTGTGATCGTTGATCATTATATGTTGATGTTACAAATGCATTTTGATTATCTACTAGTTGTGATGCATTCTTTAAAGACTTCTTCCTTTTTTTATTATTAATTTTCTTTATATATAAAGCACCTTATTTCAACTCTTTTTATGCCTTTCTCTAAGAGAAGGAATATGTTAAAGTTCACTTCTCATTTTTAGGGCTCAAAAGATTTCTATTTATCCCTTAAATAGCTTTTTATCTTTACACAACTTTTAATCAATATTGTTTTTTAGTTCCTCTTCTCCATCCTAATGCTTAACAAGAAATCTACATGTTCCTTTTAGATCCTAATGAACTATTCAAAGCATTTTTGTTTCATTTTATTTATGAATCTTTACACTCACAATTAAACGACTCAACGTCTTATTTACGTTGATCTCATACTGCTTTCTTCTACAGTTTAAAGCTATTATGCTTATTATTAGCAGCTTAGAAACAATTTCTCTATACATGCCTACATGTTTAGCTTCCTTCCTTAGTTATTTTTTTCCATCAACTACTTCCACTCAATTTCAAATTTTTCTTTTTATTTTTCATTCTATCTTTCTAAGCTATAAGTTCTAGAATCTAAGCCTTAAAAGTGTTTAAGTACCATAAATTTTGTTAATTTTTCTCATTCATATGACAAATTATTAATAAAGATGTTTATTTTTCATTTTATATAAATTTAGATTTTCCATCGCCATTCTTATTCAAATTAGTTTAACATTTTTGTAATGTCTATACTTGTGACTTGTGAAGCATTAACTTTTGATTTGTCTATTAACTTTGGCTTGTATGAAGTTGAATGATTGTTGTCATATCCTTTTCTCTTTTTTGAAAATAAAATATTGATTATCTTTAAATTTATGATATGAAAGTCTACTATTATTATTGCTTAGCTCCTTCCTCTTCTTCGACTACCTTTTTATGAAGTAGAAAAACAATTATTAGATGAAACTTGTTAATCTTGGTTCTCATTATCTTATCGATTCAACTTTTGCTATGAATTAACAAGGAACTTTGTAATTTATCATCAAAGAGTTTATCAATATCCTCATATTCTTCTATTAAACACACAACAATATTGAATTTTAGTTTTAATGATCAAAGAATTTTCTCAATCATGATGATGTCCTTCATTTTATTGCCATAGATTCACATCTTGTTAATTATTTCTATCATTCATGAAAAATAATTTGTGACTGACTCTTATATATTCATCCTAAGTAACTTGAATATTCAATATTCACCAAATCTTCACTATCCTTAAAGTGTTTGAAAATGCTGCCTTTTTGCTCTAGCTATTCTTTAACACTTGAAATTTCAAATATATTTGAAGGTATCTTTGTATATAATGATTTCAAGATTAATTGGTTAACATTAAAAAAGATAATTCTTTGCCTTGAAATTTTTTAGTAATTGCCCTTCCATCTTTGTTTTTTATATATATGTTATTGTTGATTTTGGTGGTGGTTCAATATTCATTAAAAAATAATTTTTCAATACTCCTTTGACCTTAAAAAATTCTTCATTAACATGTTCAAATGATCATAATGTCCATCAAAATATGGAATGACTGGTTGAACAAAGTTATTGGAAGCTATGATTTAAATTATTGTGTTGATGTTCTTAGTTGTTTGAATCAACCTATGCTTCTTAACTTAACTTGCTAAATTCACGATGATCCGAGTGATGAATTACACTAAGTTTAAGAAATTTGTTTTTACAAAACTATTTTTTATTTTTTATATGATAACAAAAATAGATACTCATAAAATCAAATACAAACTAAATGTTGGAACATTTATTTAAGACTATGATAACTTAAAAAAAACCAAAATAATTTATGAAAATAAATTTAAGATTAAATAAATGTTGAAGAAAAAAAAATGTCAAAATTCAAAAAAGAACAAAGAAAAAAAAGATTACTGCCTTCACTTTTCATATAAACAATAAAAGAAGTGATTGTCCCCTAACATTTTTAGATATATAAAGTATAAAAGGGTGAGTTGGTTCCAACTCTTCTAGATATATTAGGTAATGTGGAACTAAGAGTGTGTTTACATTATTAATAATCTACATGTTATATATTATATAATTAATCCAAACAAATAAAGGTAAAATATTTGATACCAAAAGCATTTAAGATGTGTTTTTTTAAAGATTTTCACCTTTTAACTAAATGTCACATCAAGTCTTATACTAGAAACTATAAAAAACGTGTTTAGAATATCTTAATCATAAAAAAATATTATAATAAATATTTTGATTTATAACCTATCTTATTATAATTAAATAAGCATAACTTAGATAGAATCTAATCTATAACCTATCTTATTATAATTAAATAAGCAGAATCTGATCCATAATTACTCCTTTTCAATATTTGGTACTTGAGATAACTATTTTTAAAAAGTTGTATTCGAAGTTTTAAAAGATTATAAGAAAATATAAATTTAATTAAAAATAATTTACAATTTCTTTGTGATAGAAACTATGTTAATTTTGGAAAAACAAGAGGGAAATAAGTTTAACTTTTAAATTAAAAGACTAATAATTTTTCATATAATTTTTTTTATCATTAAATTCATTTTTAAAATTCTTTGTCAAAATAGTTTGACTTTTATTGTATTTCATATAATATCTTCTCAAAATATGAGACTAACTTTTCTCATATATTAAAATGAAATTAAATCAAACGAAAAAGGGTCTTTTACCATTCTAACAAGTAATTCTATAACACTTAGAGAATGAATATTGATATTCTATTAGTTACTCTGTATATCCACTTTGAAGAAATAGAGAGATATAATTAGGAGAAAGAAATAATAGGTGTAAATATTATTATTACTTTTGGTAGTACATGACTTTTATGTTCTCTCCTTTTTATGTTTGTTTCTTTTTTTATAGCGAGCACAAAAAAATAATTACTAGGATATTACTAGTTACTCTTTAAGTATCATAATTTTTTTTTATATTTTAACATAATCTGATAAAATTTTTAGGAAAATAACAGGTTAGGTTTGTTTCTTTTTTTATAGCGAGCACAAGAAAATAATTACTAGGATATTACTAGTTACCCTTTAAGTATCATAATTTTTTTTATATTTTAACACAATCTGATAAAATTTTTGGGAAAATAACAGGTTGGAAAAGTATTTGGAAAATAATATAGTTTGAACACAACTACTTTTTTCAATTTTGATTTTATACATAATCAATATTGGAAATAATGATTATTTAGCTGAAAGCCAAAATACATGTCTTATACAAATTAAATAACATATATAAAAGTCAATCCAATATTTTATTAAAATTTAACGATTAATAGATGGGGTTTAAGTTTCACTTGCCAAAAAGAGAGAGAGAGAGAGAAGATATGCTAATGTAAAAAGAGAGAGAAAGAATGGATAGTTAAGGACACTTAAAAAATAGTTATCATCTTAATTTTAAAACCCAACTTAGAGGTTGACCCAAGATAAGGCTTGAGTTACAGGGTGAAGGTTTAACTCAGGTTGACCAGGGTCAATAAAAGAATAAAAATTATTATTATTATAGTTTTAAAACCAGCTCAAGGTTCAACTTGGGATAAGTCTTAGGTCTAATTTGGTTTTTTTTAATGAAAGCAACCTTGTTTTGACAAAAAAAAAAATATTTTTTTTAAAAAGTTAATAGGTTCTTTATCTAGGTTTTTAGTCAAGTCAGGTCGGGTCAATCCTTCCTTTATTTTTTTTAAATCCAAATTGGTTAAGGCATTGGGTCAACTGCCGAGTTAGTTGAGGTTTTATAACTAGGATTATTATAATATTATTAATCTCAATAATGAATATATACTAAAGTAAAGAAATAATGTCTATCTTTTTTCAAAAAAATAAGTAAGCTTAAAAGCAATGCATATTAAGGGTAAAATAGTTTTTTTCCCCATAGTTTATTTAGTTTTATCCACCATAATCAAATAAGATATATAGATAATTGTTGCACATGTGCGGTGTCGTAGCGATCGTTCTCTACACTCATGTGTTATAGCTATCTAGTAAATATGGGAGACAAGTAATTCTTATCTTATATAAGTGAAAAATAAAATGGGAGTTGCCACC